GTACAGGTGTAGTGTGTGTCTGTATCCTGTACAGGTGTAGTGTGTGTCTGTATCCTGTACAGGTGTAGTGTGTGTCTGTATCCTGTACAGGTGTAGTGTGTGTCTGTATCTGTACAGGTGTAGTGTGTGTCCCTGTACAGGTGTAGTGTGTCTGGATCCTGTACAGGTGTGTGTGTCTGGATCGTGTACAGGTGTAGTGTGTCTGGATCCTGTACAGGTGTAGTGTGTCTGTATCCTGTACAGGTGTAGTGTGTCTGTATCTGATCCTGTACAGGTGTAGTGTGTGTCTGTATCCTGTACAGGTGTAGTGTGTGTGTCCTGTATGTAGTGTGTCTGTATCGTGTACAGGTGTAGTGTGTGTCTGGATCGTGTACAGGTGTAGTGTGTGTCTGGATCGTGTACAGGTGTAGTGTGTGTCTGGATCGTGTACAGGTGTAGTGTGTGTCTGGATCGTGTACAGGTGTAGTACAGGTGTAGGTGTAGTGTGTGTCTGATCGTGTACAGGTGTAGTGTGTGTCTGGATCGTGTACAGGTGATCGTGTACAGGTGTAGTGTGTGTCTGGATCGTGTACAGGTGTAGTGTGTGTCTGTCAGGTGTGTGTGTCTGGATCCTGTACAGGTGTGTAGTGTGTGTCTGGATCGTGTACAGGTGTGTGTGTGTCTGGATCGTGTACAGGTGTAGTGTGTCTGGATCGTGTACAGGTGTAGTGTGTGTCTGGATCGTGTACAGGTAGTGTGTGTCTGTATCCTGTACAGGTGTAGTGTGTGTCTGTATCCTGTACAGGTGTAGTGTGTGTCTGTATCCTGTACAGGTGTAGGTGTAGTGTGTGTCTGTATCAGGTGTGTGTGTGTCATCCTGTACAGTGTAGTGTGTGTCTGGATCGTGTACAGGTGTAGTGTGTGTCTGGATCGTGTACAGGTGTGTGTGTCTGGATCGTGTACAGGTGTAGTGTGTGTCTGGATCGTGTACAGGTGTAGTGTGTGTCTGGATCGTGTACAGGTGTAGTGTGTGTCTGTATCCTGTACAGGTGTAGTGTGTGTCTGTATCCTGTACAGGTGTAGTGTGTGTCTGTATCCTGTACAGGTGTAGTGTGTGTCTGTATCCTGTACAGGTGTAGTGTGTGTCTGTATCCTGTACAGGTGTAGTGTGTGTCTGTATCCTGTACAGGTGTAGTGTGTGTGTCTGGATCGTGTACAGGTGTAGTGTGTCTGGATCGTGTACAGGTGTAGTGTGTGTCTGGATCGTGTACAGGTGTAGTGTGTGTCTGGATCGTGTACAGGTGTGAGTGTGTGTCTGGATCGTGTACAGGTGTAGTGTGTGTCTGGATCGTGTACAGGTGTAGTGTGTGTCTGGATCGTGTACAGGTGTAGTGTGTGTCTGGATCCTGTACAGGTGTAGTGTGTGTCTGTATCCTGTACAGGTGTAGTGTGTGTCTGGATCGTGTACAGGTGTAGTGTGTGTCTCTGGATCGTGTACAGGTGTAGTGTGTGTCTGGATCGTGTACAGGTGTAGTGTGTGTCTGTGGATCGTGTACAGGTGTAGTGTGTGTCTGGATCCTGTACAGTGTGTAGTGTGTCTGGATCGTGTACAGGTGTAGTGTGTGTCTGGATCGTGTACAGGTGTAGTGTGTGTCTGTATCCTGTACAGGTGTAGTGTGTGTCTGTATCCTGTACAGGTGTAGTGTGTGTCTGTATCCTGTACAGGTGTAGTGTGTGTCTGGATCATGTACACAGGTGTAGTGTGTGTCTGGATCGTGTACAGGTGTAGTGTGTGTCTGGATCGTGTACAGGTGTAGTGTGTGTCTGTATCCTGTACAGGTGTAGTGTGTGTGTCCTGTACAGGTCTGTCTGTATCCTGTACAGGTGTAGTGTGTGTGTCTGGATCCTGTACAGGTGTAGTGTGTGTCTGGATCCTGTACAGGTGTAGTGTGTGTCTGTATCCTGTACAGGTGTAGTGTGTGTCTGTATCCTGTACAGGTGTAGTGTGTCTGGATCCTGTACAGGTGTAGTGTGTCTCTGGATCACAGGTGTACAGGTGGAGTACAGTGTGTCTGTATCCTGTACAGGTGTAGTGTGTGTCTGTATCCTGTACAGGTGTAGTGTGTGTCTGGATCGTGTACAGGTGTAGTGTGTGTGTCTGGATCCTGTACAGGTGTAGTGTGTGTCTGTCCTGTACAGGTGTAGTGTCTGTCTGTATCCTGTACAGGTGTGTAGTGTGTCTGTACAGATCAGTCTGTATCCTGTACAGGTGTAGTGTGTGTCTGGATCCTGTACAGGTGTAGTGTGTGTCTGGATCGTGTACAGGTGTAGTGTGTGTCTGTATCCTGTACAGGTGTAGTGTGTGTCTGTATCCTGTACTGGATCCTGTACAGGTGTAGTGTGTGTCTGTATCCTGTACAGGTGTAGTGTGTGTCTGTATCCTGTACAGGTGTAGTGTGTGTCTGTATCCTGTACAGGTGTAGTGTGTGTCTGTATCCTGTACAGGTGTAGTGTGTGTCTGGATCCTGTACAGGTGTAGTGTGTGTCTGTATCCTGTACAGGTGTAGTGTGTGTCTGGTATCGTGTACAGGTGTGTCTGGATGTGTACAGGTGTAGTGTGTCTGGATCGTGTACAGGTGTAGTGTGTGTCTGGATCGATCTGTATCCAGGTACAGGTGTAGTGTGTGTCTGTATCCTGTACAGGTGTAGTGTGTGTCTGTATCCTGTACAGGTGTAGTGTGTCTGTCTGTATCCTGTACAGGTGTAGTGTGTGTCTGTATCCTCTGTACAGGTGTAGTGTGTGTGTGTCTGGATCGTGTACAGGTGTAGTGTGTGTCTGGATCCTGTACAGGTGTAGTGTGTACAGGTCTGTATCCTGTACAGGTGTAGTGTGTGTCTGGATCGTGTACAGGTGTAGTATGTGTCTGGATCGTGTACAGGTGTGTGTCTGGATCGTGTACATGTAGTGTGTGTCTGGATCCGTGTACAGGTGTGTGTGTGTCTGGATCCTGTACAGGTGTAGTGTGTGTCTGTATCCTGTACAGGTGTAGTGTGTGTCTGGATCCTGTACAGGTGTAGTGTGTCTGGATCCTGTACAGGTGTCTGTATCCTGTACAGGTGTAGTGTGTGTCTGTATCCTGTACAGGTGTAGTGTGTGTCTGTATCCTGTACAGGTGTAGTGTGTGTCTGGATCGTGTACAGGTGTGTAGTGTGTGTCTGGATCCTGTACAGGTGTAGTGTGTCTGTATCCTGTACAGGTGTAGTGTGTGTCTGTATCCTGTACAGGTGTAGTGTGTGTCTGTATCCTGTACAGGTAGTGTAGTGTCTGTATCCTGTACAGGTGTAGTGTGTGTCTGTATCCTGTACAGGTGTAGTGTGTGTCTGGATCGTGTACAGGTGGTAGTGTGTGTCTGGATCGTGTACAGGTGTAGTGTGTGTCTGGATCGTGTACAGGTGTAGTGTGTGTCTGGATCGTGTACAGGTGTAGTGTGTGTCTGTATCCTGTACAGGTGTAGTGTGTCTGTATCCTGTACAGGTGTAGTGTGTCTGTATCCTGTACAGGTGTAGTGTGTGTCTGTATCCTGTACAGGTGTAGTCTGTATCCTGTGTGTCTGGATCCTGTACAGGTGTAGTGTGTGTCTGGACAGGTGTAGTGTGTGTCTGTGTCCCTGTACAGGTGTAGTGTGTGTCTGGATCCTGTACATGTAGTACATCCTGTACAGGTGTAGTGTCTGGATCCTGTACAGGTGTAGTGTGTGTCTGGATCCTGTACAGGTGTAGTGTGTGTCTGGATCCTGTACAGGTGTAGTGTGTCTGGATCCTGTACAGGTGTAGTGTGTGTCTGTATCCTGTACAGGTGTAGTATTGTCTGGATCCTGTACATGTGTAGTATTGTGTCTGGATCCTGTACATGTGTAGTATTGTCTGGATCCTGTTCATGTGTTCGGATCATGTACATGTGTAGTATTGTCTGGATCCTGTACATGTGTAGTATTGTCTGGATCCTGTACATGTGTAGTATTTTCTGGATCATGTACAGGTGTAGTATTTTCTGGATCCGGTGCATGTGTAGTATTGTCTGGATCCTGTTCATGTGTAGTTGGTGTCTGGATCCTGTTCATGTGTAGTGTTGTCTGGATCCTGTACATGTGTAGTTGGTGTCTGGATTCTGTACGGGTGTAATGTGTGTTTGGATCCCGTAAGGTGTTGGATCGTCTACGTTTCAGTACATTATGTTAATACAGAATAACCTCTGCAACTCGAGTTATATATAACGATATATATAATTTTAGTTCGAGCAATGTATAAATTTCGAATATCTCTTCACAACGTTCGAGTCAATATTATTTGTAAAACGCCATTGTTAGATACCTCATACAGAACCTGTATGTACAGATATATTTAACTCTTGTGATATTAATGCACTACGCTTGTTAGATTCATGTGTGCAAAATAATTAAGATAAAAGTGAAAAAATCTTACACTCTGGACATGTGACCTACATAACATTATCTTACAACTTTTCTATGCGCCATGTGGCCTGAATTACGCGAACCCCTTACCGCAAACCTGCCACCAGCGCACCTGCTCATCCGTTTAAGAATCGGTGTTCAGCAACCGTGATCGTCGACACAGGCGGATAACGGGCTGATTTTGTTAATGTCATAATATCCCAACTGCACAGACCAAAGCTTTATAATGTCAGTCACTGGATCGTTACAACATCAACAAACGAAACAATAAGCCCCTCTTTCATCCAGCTCAGATTAGTTGAACATCATTATTAGGGCAAAATCGCAACGTTTTACTTCATTACACCTCCCCTTGCCTGAAGCATCTTCGGATCCGGGACAGACACATTCTTGTCACGTTCTCACGTCACGTGCAGATTTCCGTCACGGATATTTCTGAGATCCGTATTTAACGATCTATCGGAACTTACATGGTGTCGTAACATTGAAATGTCTCTTATGTCAACATGATTATATGCTGTAGAGAAGTGAATTAAATGCAACACAAAATTTAATTTATATTTCTTTATTTTGTATTCAAATAATTATTTCACATTCGTATTGGCGTGAACGTCAAGCACAAAACGCACCACACCTGTCAACCCATATTTCTGAAATGGAATTTCTCAGAGTTTTAAAGTATATAACATATATATATATCAAAAATCAAAATGTGGATATAATGATATGACAATGATGAAATGAACACAATATGTAAGGGCATTTGTCAGGACACAATGTACATTTCAAAGACAATGAGACACTGAACAAAAGTGCGTCTGATCTAAGTTATGTAGAGTGAGTGAGTTGGTTAGTTAGTTTACGCCGCTTTTAGCAAAATTCCAGTAATATCACGGCGGGGGACACCAGAAATGGGCTTCACACATTGAACCCATTTGGGGAATCGAACCCGGGCCTAAAGCGTGACGAGCGAACGCTTTAACCACAAGTCTACCCCACCGCTCCTTGACAGATGGAAGTGGTAATGTCAATATTCATTTCACACATAGCAAGTTAAAAAACGCCGCGTTTAGCAACGTTCCAGTACTATCAATGCGGAGACAACAGAAATGGGCTTCACACATTGTACCCATGTGGGGAATCGAACCCGGGCCTTCGGCGTGACGACCGAACGCTTAAACCACTAGGCTACACCACCGCCCCGGAATATCATCAATGGTACCGACTGCACTAACGTAAATTGCACTGTATTAGGGTGATGAGGTTTTACAGTATAGTAACTAAATAGTAACAAATAGTCGACAGTAACTAAATGTACGCGAGTGATATACTTACTGTGGTAAGAGTGTCCACGGGGAGTAAATGCTCGGTACGGTAAAACATGTAAATGTGTGTTGTAACATTCATAAATCAGTTTACCCACTTTTGTTCAGTATCAGTATAATATAGGACACGAGACAAAACTATATACATGATGATACAATATAATACCCCTACAATCCCGTAGACTAGGACACACGTACACACACAGACTCTCTGTACAGCACAACCTTGTGAATGAGGACACCTGGACATAGAAGTCCATGGCGGTATAGAAACAGGGGATGGCGTGTGGGATTTGAAGAAGGATCATTTTTAAAACACCCACCCACAATAGTTACTGAAGGCATGTTTACGTTGGATATCTGAACGTTCAAATCAACATATGGATTTACAATTGAAACCTTCAAAGTAGGAATTGCAGGGAACACAATGGTTCATCGCAAATGACGCAAACACGTTGACGTTCCGATTAGGAAGTAAACCGTTTCATTGCACAGTTGTGTCCTCCTTCAAACCATCCCGGGTTCTGGATCATATGATCTATATTTTGAAGTTCTTGGAACTCATAAGGAATCTTGGGACATTTTGCTGGAGCACCAGAACCAAATGTCAGTCAGACATCTTCAGAAAGTTTGAAGCGGCACTCATTGTTCGAGAATGTTCTGAAAGCACTGGCATCATAAATTACAAACACAAAACATGCATGAACGTATTCACAGGTCCCTTTATATAGCACATCCACCCCTCCCGTACGTGGGGGTCACCTTCCTACATGCATACCTGATGTGTTCTACCGGGTAGTTGGACCCGTGGTATGCCGTACATGATGTAGGGTTTTCCAGGCAGGCCTGTCTGAGCAAGTCTTTGACAAGAATGAGCATTATCTATGACAGATCTGATGGTATTGGTAGACAGAGGTTTCCTTTCCAGCTCCGAAGACCTCACAATCACCTTCTTACCATGTTTGATAAGGATCATGGCCACGAGTTGCTTGTTGACCTGGGTGCGCCACTTCATCCAGGAGTGAAACTCACGCTGGGCCTTGGGATGTATAGCTGACGGGAGGAACTCGAATGTCTTATCATTGAGAATCTTCCTTTCTACTTTGTTCAGATTGACCCTCACAGTGTAGTTCATCTGCCTTGCATCCTCAAGGTCGTAATCAGGAGCAATGCAGCTGAAGACTTCTACATCCTCGTTGGAGTTATCTGTCGGGTAGTCGGGGTCTATTTCCCGAACCTCCTCCTCTGTGATGTTTAGCTGTGTTAGTTCCGGGTACAGGGGGTAGTCTGGGCGCAGCAGGGTTTGGTAAGGGGAGGTGGGTTCCACTGGAGTATCTTGAGGGCCGAACTGTAGCCCCTCGCTGAAGTAGAACTGGGTCAGATCTGGGTAGAGTCTCTCCGGGGGAGGGGCTGTTACTCCTGAAGGTGGCATTCTGGGTACTAGGTTGAAGCGGACTTGTTTCTGACTAGATTTGGTGCTACGGGCAGCTGAAAACAAGAACACGATGTATTAGTTGGGTGTCAATGCATGGTCAAAATGCTTTTTATCTCGATGAAAGGTGTTGATGGGAATTTATTGCAGGGTCTGTGTGTTGTGGAAGAAGCGATCTTCAGAAATAATTCCCATTTTGCATTTGGAACAGGAGTACCTGATAAACTTTTATCTTCTAGATCTAGTATATAGAAAGTTGCCTAATGAGAGTGAACCATCCTCGATAATGCATATTTTATGTATCTGACTCAAACCACGTGATACTTCACTTAACCGTCCTACCAATTTGCACTGAGGATCGAAAATAATTTTGTTATAAGAGTGAGTAAGTGAGTATGGTTTTCCGCAGCTTTCAGCAATATTCCAGGAATATCACGGCTGGGGACACCATGGATGGGCTTCACATATTGTACCCATATGGGGAATCCACCAAGGCCTTCAGCGTGACGAGCGGACGCTTTAAACAATAAACTACCCCACCGCCCCTTTTATTATAGGAGAGATTGCGATGATGATATCACTTCCAAACAAAACTTTGGTCGTAAATAGGCTCTGGATACAATATATATATATATATGTATATATGTATATATGTATATATGTGTATTTATGTGTACAGCATAAGCAAGGATGAGAATAAACAAGAACGTATGTAAATATTGGAAAGGAAAACCTTGGTAGTCCGGAATCCCGTAAGTCCGGGAACCCGTTACTGTTAATAATTATTCAACTTCTTCATATATGTAGCTAACACACTTCAAACCTACAACTTCAGTAACCATTTCGCCTGTTGAGACAAGTACACAATACAAACAAATTTGATACAATCGTATTTGCTTGAGTGCATAGTTGATGTAAAATATGCTGAAGCGTATTATACTGTTCTCATACATCGTGGAGCAAGTGACAGTTCCTCTTATGACGTCACCACATGTAACAGAGAATGTCGTGTAGACTTTACATGAATACAACATCATCTTACACATATCCGGGACAAACCTGGCGAGCCCCACCCAGACACACAGTCTGATGCCCCACCGCCCTTAGAACAAACACGTATCTAGACTCTCCGAGACGACACTGAAGACATGATACTGTTTACCCCCACTCACACTGCCAACTGAATCTATGAGGGAACACAGTTAACGCCTTGAATGAAGGTATATATTAGTCAACGTTGCAGCATTGTTATTACGACGGACCGTAGTAGGTCGAGATTAAACCAGACAAAGTACTTGTTGATGGTGGGAAGTTGTTACGGTATGAGGCCAGGTGGGTTGAACACCTTACAAGCATTGCCAGGTGGGTTAAACACCTTACAAACATTGTCAGGTGGGTTGAACACCTTACAAACATTGCCAGGTGGGTTGAACACCTTACAAACATTGCCAGGTGGGTTAAACACCTTACAAACATTGCCAGGTGGGTTGAACACCTTACAAACATTGCCAGGTGGGTTGAACACCTTACAAACATTGCCAGGTGAGTTGAACACCTTACAAACATTGCCAGGTGGGTTGAACACCTTACAAACATTGCCGTTCGGGTTAAACACCTTACAAACATTGCCAGGTGGGTTAAACACCTTACAAACATTGCCAGGTGAACACCTTACAAACATTGCCAGGTGAGTTGAACACCTTACAAACATTGCCAGGTGGGTTAAACACCTTACAAACATTGCCGTTCGGGTTAAACACCTTACAAACATTGCCAGGTGGGTTAAACACCTTACAAACATTGCCAGGTGGGTTGAACACCTTACAAACATTGCCAGTGGGTTAAACACCTTACAAACATTGAAATATCAACAACACCAGCGAACAATCATTCTCGATCATCTTTAACAAAGATTCATGGGTGGGCAATGATACATTGTGGTAAAACTATATGAAGGGATCGTTGAAAAATAATTTGTAATCGCTTCTTATATACAACTACGACTTTGGACATTGCAATCAACGCAAAATTATTAAATATCTCCTTATTAAGTTAACATTCATTCTCGTTAGCGTCAATCCGATATTGTCTACATAAAATATCAAGTGACCTTTTCATATTTTGTAATATTTTTTTTTTCATTCTTCTATTAGCGATAATAGTATGCGATAAGTAGTAGCTATCATAACAAGTATCATATAATGATCACTATTATAGCATTTACATGTTTTTTACATTATTATAGTGATTGAATTAATATATTTACACATAATTAGATTGTTAAAGAACTAAGTAACTTAAAATGACATACATATGAAAAGTAATCTCATGATGGTTATAATGGTAGTTGTTCTAGTCAGAACACGATAAGTCGTGGTTAACAATGTAATGTAGCTTAACGTATTAACAGAGTATTAACCGTACACTGTTGCAGGGCGCTGTTCCAATTTTACAATACAGGCAGAAATTCTGCACACAAAAAACAACTTTAAAAACCTTTTCGTTAATCTTACAGAACATAACAAGGTGTGTCGATGTAGCCTGCTACCTGGAATACTACAAGTAACAATATGTTCACAAGTAGCAGAGACCATTAAGTTTTAACAACACATAACCTTTCGACCCCGTTTCAGGGTATCTGCTGAAAATCACGATTCAGACTGCTAGTTGGATATATAAAACGTATCCACCCGAAAATAATGGACAATTACCTTTTCGACGTTTGATTGCAGTTCTGTGGTGTTTACTATGGTCAGATGACCCTAACTGACCACAGCAACAAATCCGTCCCAACATAGTTGGCGGCCATTCAACAGTACCTGTGACATCGTTACCTAGGACGTGGCGGCGTTGGTGTGCAAATATATTAACAAGACATCCACTCCGACTTGAGCTGGTCGAGAAAATAACGAATATTGACTCTCCGGGGAGTTTTTTAAGGTGGGATACATCTTGTGAACACCTCAGCGTTCACACTCTCACAACATTGACAGACATAATTCAAATTGTATCAGGCTGAAAGTAGCTTGTAGCTTGGGTTTAATTCACGCTTAGTGTTATAAATGTGTTCAAGACCCTTCATTAAAGTTCTGAGCACTGTATAATATACACGTATCGTGCCTCACGGGAGTACTGTGTGTCATTCGAGTGGTTTAAACTATCATGTAACTTCTTGTCAGGCGAGTTGGTTCTGTGAGAAGGGGCGTTGTCATTGTTTCCAAACACCCCACATAATAGTTTTGTGTGGATCTTCAGGGGGAATGTGCGTCTGCTGACGAGATTGTTTTTGTTCTTTTTATGATATGAAATATTTTTGATGAACAAAGTTTCATCATTTGCCGGGAGCTACATAAACCATTCATGATAACGTCCACCTATAAGAAACTTGTACAAAAGCAGTATTTGATCGATTCTTGAAGGAAAATGTTTTTCACATTAAGGTTAAATTTTACATGAGTAGGAATTTTAAATATTAGCAAAGTTTAAAGAATTCGAGTTAGTGTCACCAAGTCCGAATGAACCTGAAGTGTCTGTCTGTCTGTGTCGGTGTTGTTGTTTAAGAACATCAGGTCACCACTTGTTACATTCATGTAATACCATTCTTGGAGCAGTATTGCCATTTAAACCATTATATAGACATACTCACCGTAGCAGATGAGGCATAAGGGATACTGTATGACAAAAATAAGATATTACCTTAAAATGTATGCAGTACAACTCTCCAGGCGTGTCCTTGTAATTACAGGTATTCTCAGGTGAATGTAAGTATACTGAAGGGTGACAGGTACGTATATCTACCTGAGCACGTCATAATGTCTTGAGGCGTTGATTAGATAATGCGAGAGTCAGGACCATCTATCAGAGAATGTCCCTGTGTTGGGGGTAGGGGCTGTCCCCTAGGGGTACTGATTAGGGTGAAGAGATTACAATTGTAATTAACACTGGGGCTAAACAGACAGTTGTAATTGCTGCGTACAACTGGCTTCACTCGTTTCGAAATTCAGTCGAAAGAGTATTGAGTGAGTTTGGTTAAACTCTGCTTGGAAACGTATTTCAGTCATCTCGTTGCGTCAGCTTCATGCGAGTGAGTGAGTTTACCCCGCTTTTAGCAATATTCCAGCAATATAACGGGGGGGGGCACCAGCTAAGGGCTTCACACATTGTACCCATGTGGGGAATCGAACCCTGGTCTTGTTCGTGACAAGCGAACGCTTTACCTCTAGACTACCCCACCACCCGCTTCGTGTGAGAGGGACGAAGTGTGTCAGTCTTTACGTTTAACACTTGGTGAAATCCATGATCCCGAGTAAGATGTTAACACGTAATCAGTGCGACTCTGGGCTTCGAACCCCCAAAAGCCATAAGGGTAACTCCTGGAAGTTGGTATGATGGATAAGGGATTCTATAGATACACAATTGTCTGATCGGCATTCAAGAAGTTGGTGACCCAAAAATGAAACATTCAACTTTATGGATGACAACGTCTTGTTTAATGCATAGAGCGACGTTTCGATGTAGATTTTACATCGTTATCAAGCTAAAACGATGTAAGAATCTACATCGAAACAATGCTCAATGCAATAAACAAGGAGGTGTCATCCATAAAGTTGTATGTTTCATACACAACTCCTGTTAAACAATGAATGCGACGTTTCGGTGATGGCATAAATAAATAATGCTTATGGTTTATCACTTTAACTTACAATCAAACATGGTTCCATAAATTGTAAAACTGATTTATGTTGCTGGAGTAGATTCCAGAGTAGCTTTACTGCAGGGCCATTATGACTACTACCTAAAGCCAACTGCCACCTAGCTCATTAAACAGTGATGATATGAAGGGGTAAATCAATCTCACTACTGAACAATGCCTGCACCAAGGTTGGCATAGCACAATGTGTTGTATTGATGGTACACACCTTTGACTGCACAAGTTTAAGTATCACTAGAGAGTGAGTGACAGTGAGCCACCCGATGTATATTTCAATCACAACGTGGAAACCCAGTGCCGGAGATAAGCATGTTTAATTCAGGTCTTGGTTGGTCACGTTGCTGA